GGGGCGGGGCGGACGTGACGGCATGGCACTTGAACTCGGCCCCGCCCCGCCGGGACGCCGCCGGCATCGTCACGGGTACCTCTCCGTCTGCTACACGGTCAGCCCGGCGAGCAGAGCCAGCCGCGACCTTCAAGAACAAGAGGAGGAGGACAGCGGGCCGCTTCCGGTTCTATGTTACGTCAGACACTTCCGGTCCAGCTAGGTCCGCGGCCGGCCGCCCGCGCCTGCCAAAACGAAGGACCTTTCAGTTTCAGGAGTTGTTGACTGAGGCCTGCGGCCCTGAAACAGGCGGGCGGCGAGGACGGTCGCCTGGAGCCGCGCTGGAGCAGGAGAGGGACCTGGTGAGGGACCTGGTGAGGGAGCTGGAGAGGGAGCTGGAGAAGGAGCTGGAGAAGGAGCTGGAGAAGGAGCTGGAGAGGGAGCTGGAGAGGGAGCTGGAGAGGGAGCTGGAGAGGGAGCTGGAGAGGGAGCTGAAGAGGGAGCTGGAAGCCATATTTGAGCGACTGCACGCCCCGCGACAGTCACAGCTCCCTCCACGCGCACAGAAGAGTGCATCAAGACTCGACCACAGACGTGCGAAAATCGCACGGGAGAATAGCGCGTCACGATGGCAACGCGCACACGTGTGGAGAAAAGTGACAAGCCGTACAATACCGTCACACACAGACACGTGACAGTGTAACATTCACTCTCGCAAAATGTTGCTTTGGCCGTGGGTGGGAACTGGACCTGTACTGTACCAGGTGGCTGATTAACCCCGCGCACTACTGTTGTACTATGCAACCCGCCCGCGCGGCTCCATCCGGGACTGCATACCCAGGAGGCGCAGGGGACCGGCTCCAAGCGCCAACGCATCGCTCCGCCACTTTGTTGCAGTTCACGCCCAGGGGCGTTACAAAGGGGTTGTTCGCGGTTTCGCGCGGGTTCCCGCGAGTCCGCTTGGGTAACCCGTGATTTCGCGGGGGTAACTTGAGGGTCCGCGGGGGTAGCTCGCGAGGTTAATCAGCCACTGGTACAGTGTGAGATATACTTTGACATGTACAGAGTGTAACTGAGAATGCGCAACAGTATTGCGGGTTTGCCTACCCAGTTAGCCCGTAAGGCGCCATGGCCCCTGCAGCCCTGGCGGGTATGCAATCCCGCAACACTGTTGCGCATTCTCAGTTACACCCGGTACTTTAAACTGCGTAACCTGTTCCGAAACACTTTTCTCGGCCAATTTATGAAAAGTTAAGGATAACGACTGATCGCGAAACTATAGTCGTTATCTGTGCGGTGGACTGAGCGGACAGATTTGTGGCGTGGAGGATGTGCCTACAGCCTCTTTTTGTTTTTCCTAGCTGTACACGCGCTACAATCTAGTGGAGCGACGTGCGACAAACAAAACGTCCCACTAAGTGTCTGTCGCCGATAAAGGTAGACGGGACGGCTGGGCCGGGCCGCGGCGAGCAGCACCCGTCAAGGCCGTGCAGTGCACCTGAGCGGGGCGGGGCGGCGGGGCGGCGGGGCGACCGCAGGATCGCAGGGTCTCGCGCCCCATCCCGCCACTAGACTCTCGTGACAAGTTCTTTTGATTCCTGCCCCAACCCACTTCAAACGGTCACGCTTGTTGTTTGTAGGAATGAGGCTGAGGCCCTAAAGGAGCACAGTGCACTTCTCTTACTTTAGTGCTTCATAGTACGTTTGATACAGAAGTGTCTCCAAGACGTGCTTCTCCGCATGCTTAAATGTTTACATTAATCATGTATTATGTATTATCATTGTAATCTACAATCCATACTTGCAGATTAAACTCACCTGCTAGATGTCTCACTGAAGTTGCCCCCATCCAAAAGTCGAACTTTGGCAAAGAGGACTGCACTGACAAAGGGAACGGCTGTCAGCTCCTCCAGCAGCACAGAAACTTGAAACTTGTACTTTTTCTTCTTCATCATAAAGGCCATACTTCCCGCGGCACACAGTTTGTCCAAAGTTGTTTCTACAACCCCTGGAATTCTTCTTGTGTCTGCTGACACAGTCACTGAACTTTTAAGTCTGTTGAAATTAATTTGCAGTTGTGGGCTAACTGTCCAACACAGCAAGACTTATTCTTTCCATTGACCATGTTTCACATCACCCTGAACTTTCACTACACGCACTTCCTGAAAAGGTACACGGAGTTGAGGTTAAAATCCACTGCGAAAAAGAAAGATGTCTACAGTAAATGACACACAAATGAAGAAATATTATTCTCTTATGCAGAACTTGACCAAATGGTAGATTTAAAAATTTGAACATTATTGGTACAATAAAACATAACCATAAGCTAGAAGTATAGAAGTATAATTTCAAATATTTCAAGGGCTTTGATCCTAGAAAAATGTTGTGTCAAAAGGCATTATACGGATTAAAATTTTTAAAATTGTCGCAGTAGACAAAATAACTGACAAAATAAAAAACAAGATATCCACATAACCTAGAAAATAACCTGTCACTCAATAGGGTTGGGCTCGGATATGTTTTTAAATGCTCGTTAGGAGTTTCAACATTTTCAGCCAATATACTTAGTCCAAAGTCAAGAATCACGGAACGACGTTATCAACTAGACAATATTTCTCATTTGTGTTTCAAAAAAAAAAAAAAAACTTCTTAAAAAACCGTTTAATGCACAAGACGTCAAGTCACGAAGACGGTTTTACTGAGCCTGAACCTACTCAGCCACGTACCGAAAACACAATACTGTTCGACACCGCGACGGGAGGAATGTCCGGCGCGACCTAGAGGCCAAATTTCCAATTTCGTCCTCAAATTTTCGAGAGAAAACACAACGAAACGGAGGGCGCCACGCAGCGTCCACCCGTCAGTGTGTCCCAAACAACACTGCGGGGTGCGAGAGAGAGCGACAGTCAGGGAGGCGCGAGCGTGGGACGGCGGCTCGCTACTGCGGCTGCGGTTCCAACGGAGGCCGATAGGTGGCGTCCGCAGTCGTCAGCTGTTCGTTGCCTCCCGCTTCCACCTCAGGTCGCAACTCCTGTGCAGATGTGTCAAAGGTTGCTCGCGTCGTGAAAACTTCCTACTCGCGAACATAGCGGCCGGTACGGGAAAAGACGTCCGAAGTTTGGCGTAAGTTGGTGTTGATTCTAGCAATTATCATACGGTACTCTAGGACACTGTGTGTGTGTGATGTCACCAGCGATTTTCATCTAAAGTGGGTTCGGAAAAGCGGCAAACAAACGACGTCACGCATACTACTTAGCCTTGCGACGAACTTTGATAGTCGACAACACAGCTAGATACTGCAGCCGGTGAGATTCAAATTCGCGTTATCTTGAGTTTCTTGATAGTCACAAGGCAAGTCGTTTAGGGAGTTAGTTGGAACTGTCCTTCACGTATGTTTTTGTGAGCTGAAGCTGCACCATATTGCATGAGTTTTTGTTGAGCTTTGGGCTTGGTTTTAACAGCAGGCTCTCATCCCATCAAATACTGAGTTTCGCAAGAGTTGTCACCAAGGCTTTGTACTGTGTACCTTGAATGAATGGCCAACATAAGTCATGTAATTTCTTATTACAGATGTTTGTAGCTTGTCGCAGTCTTCAGGCTGTTTCAAAAGTTGTACCATCTACGGTTTCGGGTATTCAAAGACGGCTTCTTGCCAGTATGAGTTCAGCAAACAAATTTGATTTGCCTGACCGGTACAGAGGATCCGAAAAAAGTGTCTGGTAAGTTCCATACTACATTGTATATATTACATTCTCACAGTTTTCATAAATTTGTTTCATATTTTTCTAGGGTCGAATATATTCAACTGGCCCAAGAAACTCAGCCGTTGAATCTTGGACAAGGCTTTCCAGACTTTGCTGCTCCTGAACATGTTACTAAAGCGTTAGCAGAGGTGTGCACAGGAGAAAATGTTTTAATGAATCAATATACAAGGGGTTTTGTAAGTATATTCTTATTATAATGGTCAATGGTATACTGGCTCATACATTTTCTCTAAAGTTACAATTTCTCTATGGTATTCATAGGGACATCTCAGACTGGTAAAAGCTCTGAGCCAACTTTATTCCAAGTTGATTGGCCGTACAATTAACCCTGCAACTGAAGTACTTGTTACTGCTGGAGCCTACGAAGCCCTCTTTTCAACTATCATGGGCCATACTGGTCCTGGAGATGAAGTCATTATCATTGAACCATTCTTTGACTGCTATGAGCCAATGGTGCGAGCTGCAGGTGGAATTCCCAAATTTATCCCTCTTAAACTGGTAAGATATTTTCTTCAAGCACTAAATTTTAGTAATGCCTCCATATTTTCAACCATAACTTCACGCACACAATTTTATTTCTATCCATCAGGTTAAACCATCTGGTAGTGGCCCTGTCTCATCTGGTGACTGGAAATTGGATGTGGATGAACTGTCTTCAATGTTTAATTCCAAAACAAAATCAATCATTCTAAATACCCCTCACAATCCTATTGGAAAGGTCTTCACCCAGGAAGAGCTGACAGTCATTGCAGATCTTTGTAAGAAATGGAACGTGTTGTGCATTTCAGATGAAGTTTATGAGTGGCTTGTCTACAAGCCCTACAAGCATATTAGAATTGGTAAGATCAAAATTTTCATTTCTCTCTAATTGGCATTCCTATATGGTTAAATTATATTTATTTTCCTTTTCTCCAGCTACTCTTCCTGGCATGTGGGATCGTACCATAACAATTGGATCTGCAGGGAAGACATTCAGTGTTACTGGCTGGAAGACAGGTTGGGCATACGGACCAGCAAACCTCTTGAAAAATGTCATGACTGTTCATCAGAATTGTGTATACACCTGCACAACCCCTGTTCAGGTAGGTATCACAATGTGTACAATATACAAAAATTATGTCAATTTGTCTTTCAACCAGGTGTCATTTTTCATTGTGCTTTTATAAAATTTTAGGAAGCAGTTGCAAGAGGATTTGAATTGGAGATGTCAAGAATGGATTCCCCTGAATGCTACTTCTATAGCTTGGCTGAAGAACTCTTGCCAAAGAGAGAATTGATGGCTAAATTCTTAAGTGATGTGGGCATGGTTCCAACAATTCCTGAAGGCGGATACTTTATGATAGCAGACTGGTCACCTCTTGGTAAGCTTTTGAGGTTTATAATTGCTTATCTTGACCTCTATTTTGTGGGAATAGTATACCTATTTTCTGTTTCTGATGACAGCAAACAAAGTTGATCTATCTCAGGAGGTAGATAAGTACAGAGACTACAAATTTACCAAGTGGATGTCTAAAAATATCAAACTTCAAGGTATACCGCCATCAGCTTTTTACAGTGAGCCCAATAAGCCACTCATTGAAGATTATGTGCGTTACTGCTTCATAAAGGTGTGTATCAATCCATTCTTTAATCTTTTCTTTTTCTAGTGAAGTTTTTACGGATTCTATTGTTTTAATTAATCTAATCTCTATACATTGCAGAAAGATGAAAACCTCCACAAGGCAGCAGAAATTCTTCAAAAATGGAAGGGAAGCAATTAGTTCATAGGAAAGCAAAAACCTCAGATTGAAACTTGGATCTATCTGTGTTCCATCATTACTCTTCTGTAAAAAGAATCTATGTGATATGTGATATCTAAATAGTTACTATTGTTGAGATTTATGTACCTTTCTGATTGCTGAACTGCAATCAGCTGTAATTGATTCTCACATTATTTCGTGTTGTGATCATTTTAAGTTATATTTTTACATGTTACATATTTTTTTTCATAATTGTTCATTTACTTTTTAAATATTCCTGAAGAGTGTTTTACTTACAGAATAAAAATTGCCTGTTTACTTTCCATGCTTCTTATTCTTATGTGGTGTAGTCTCCCCTCAGCCACCTCTTTCCGTCTCTTGAATCGTTTCCATAGGTTCTTCCGTACCTGCCAAGGCATTTCCACCAAATTGATAAGTTCGAAGTAGTTCCAGGAGAAACCAAACTCAATAAGGAGAGACGTAACTTTCCCAAAGGAGGAACAATTTTCATTCCAGGCTATCCTTTTGTTATAAAATAAATGAATGAAGATCCCTGAGTGAACTTTGCTTGTTGCTAGTGAACTCACCGGAACTTGGCGCCGGGCAGGTGGCCGACGTAGTGCGGCAGCAGCCCGACGTGCTTGTGGTAGATCTCGGGCGGGGTGAGGAGCAGGGGCGGGTCCGCCTGCACCACGCCGACGGGCGCCCACTCGGTGCTCTGGCGGCGCCGGTAGTTGTGGGTGAAGTCGCACAGGGCCGAGTTGGTGAGCGCCTGGCTCGTCTGGCCGTAGCGCGCCATGCCGTAGGGGACGTGCCCCGTGTAGCCTGCGCAGAGACACATCGGGGTGACGTCGCATCGGTGGCTTTCCGACCATCATTTGGTCGGGCGTGGACAGCCCGATGTAAACCCAAAAGTCAAAGGGGGACACACTGGTGCCAAGAATGGTGTATGCATTGACGGCACTGTAACACACGTTCTGTCCACAAATCGATATAATTTTTAACGGTGTACGATTTGGAGCACACCTGACGGCGCGACCTGCAGACTCTGGCGGGCGTACGTCTGGTTGACGCGTCCGATGGAGGCCATGATGCCCGGCTAATTTGGAAGGGCCTAAATAGCGAACGCGACGAGACGATCGGACTAGGAATTTAGACGAGGAATGAAAATGGCCGCGCAGAGCGTATTGTTGGGCATTGGTACCAGGCCCAGCGAGTGCGACAGAGAAGAGTTGAGGGAGCGAGAGAAAAGGAGGGGGGGGGGAGGCAGAGAAGGAGAGAACGGAGTTGCGCCGGGCGAGGTGCGCCGGGGGGTTAGGCATCCCAAATGACTCGGCCGGACAGTCGCATGAGCTGCCAGCCTCCACGGCGGGCCCCGCCGGCCACCACGCCCCGCCCGCGGCACTCACCGAGCACGAAGTACTTCTCGGGGTCGTTGGGGTCCATGAAGTACGGCGAGACGGCGCTCCTGGCGGGCGGCACGGCGGCCTCCGGGGCGCAGACCTTCCTGATGACGCCGCTCATCTCGGGACGAACCATGTAGAGCGGCATCTTCCACTGGTTGGCCTGCACCATACGGTCCAGCAGGTGCTTGGGGTCGGCGGCGTTGTTCTGCAGCTGCTGCGCCCGCACCACCTGGTTGCGGGTGGCGCGCTCGCGCCGCTGCTGCTGCTCGAAGTCGGACAAAGCCGCGGCCGCGGCCGCCGTGAACCGCTGGCCGAACTGGCCGCGCGCCCGCGGGAGGAAGCCTGCCGTGCACCGCCACACACCACCCTTTAGCACCCTCACACATTACAGATATCTGCGGGAAAACACTTAGTTTCAGGGAAGACCCGAAGTTTGACCATGAACCACGGCATCACCGTGAGTTCCAAAAGATTCGCACACTGGTTCGCCGTAGCACACCGTAAAATTTCATCGTAGCTTATATGGTAAAAATTCACACTCACAAAGATGCGGGGTTTAATGTTATGTCCAGTGAAATCCACCGGAAGCTTTTAGCGGTGAGGAACGTAACGTTTTTCAAACAAGGACCCCAGTAGTGCGGAGCGCCTGGCGAGGCGAGGTAGGCCGGCCCGTGGTGCACCGTTGTCTCGCGGGTCGGCCTACCCTACGCCCACAGTCCGCCTGGCGAGGCGAGGTGGGCCAGCCCGCGGTGCACCGTTGTCTCGCGGGTCGGCCTACCCTACGTCCGCAGTCCGCCTGCCGAGGCGAGGTGGGCCAGCCCGTGGTGCACCGGTGTCTCGCGGGTCGGCCTACCCTGCCGGCTGATGAGCATGAGCAGCAGGCCGAGCAGGCCCGGGTCCAGGCCGACCAACCATGGCGGCGGGGCGGCGGGCCGGAGCGGGGCGATACGAAACCGCCCATAAAGCGGACTCGGCGTGGCCTTTAATGCGATCGGGGCACACGGGCGCCAGCCGCTCACCGCCCACTCCGTCGGGCCGCGGATAGAGGACTGCAGGCGGGGGCCAGATTCCTCCGCCGTGTCCGCGAGACAAGTGGACCGCGGACGGACGGACGGACTCGCGTCCGCGACGGGGAGGAGGGCGAGCCTGCAGCCTTCGTTCGAATAATGTTCGGATCGTCTCGCAAAGTAATACTCGGGTGTTCTGTTGTTGTATTGCGCAAGTGTGCGCCGCGGTCAGACCCGGCCGGGCCCCGCTGAGACCACGTCAGTGCTTCGCCCCGGCTTTGCCTCTCCTCCTCAGCACACCTGCCCCGCCCCGCCACGGTACGCTGCCGCCCGCTGTTGTGCTTAACGCTCCGCGGGTTACCCCTCGCCGCGTCGTCTCCCCGTTATGTCGGCTGGCGCGTGTCGCGACCTCTGCAGCTGCTGGCGGGACGCGTGTCG